ATATATATATACATATATATATACATATATGTTTATATGTATATATATGTAATATGTATATGTACACACATATGTATATACATTATTATGCATTTTTTGCAGCTATGCAGTGCAAAAACACATGCTGACGGGGAGTTGTCTGTGTGTCCGTGTGTGCGTCTGTTACGCACTTTCATCTCAAGACCTATAAAATCTGCAGGGCTAAAATTTGAGGAACTTAATCTACATGCATGTGCCGGCCCCAATCCCCAAAATTGGCGCCATCACCAGCGTAGTACTCGCGCACGAGCCCGTCGAAATTTTTTTCAAATTCATAACTTGAAGATCTGAGAAGCTAGAACGCTGAAATCTTACGGAGATGTTCCCTGTCCAACTGAGTGTTAATGCACTCAAACCCATCTCCCGGGTAAGAGTAGTACTCACGTACGGGCCCGCCAAAATTTTTCTCAGGTAAGTTCATAACTCGGGATCTGTGATGCTAGAAGAATGTAACATTAAGAGGGTGTTCCCCGTCCACATTAGTCTCAACGAGTTCAAACCCAGACCTCGGCCATGCGTGGTACCTACGCACGGGTTCATCAAAGTTCTCGGGTAAGTTCATAATTCGAGAACCTGTAAAGCTAAAAGACTGTAGTTTTAGGAAGATATTCCCCGTTCAAGTAAGTCCCAACGAGCTCAAACCTCGGGTATGCGTAGTACCCGAGTGCGGGCTTGTGGAAAATTTTTTCCAGTAAGTTGCTAACTAAGGAACCAGGAAAGCTAGAAAGCTGAAATTCTAAGGGGGTGTTTCCTGACAGCTCTGGCGGCCAGTCTTAATTTGTTTAGCTAGAAGCATCTGCCGAAAAAACCGGTGTCGGTAGCGACAAAAACTGCGGGGAACTATGCAAAAAACCCATCTTCGCACGGGCAGCCCGTGCGTTGACCAATTATTTTAAAATCCAGTTGACAAACTGCACAGCAAACACCCAATCGCGATACAACCTTGCAATTATAGACCTTTTTAAATCGTTTGAAAAAAAATTCTGGTCTTTCAGTCTCAGATGATTTTATAATCAAGCTTGCTGAGAGCGAAGTGAACTGAAAAGCAATGAGGCGAAACGAACGAACCTCACGCTTTTACCACCAAAATATGGCTTGTCAAAGAGTACGTCCACTTTTTCCTCCGTACCTCCGCATAACAGGCCAATGACAGTACCAAACTCGCCAAACGGTGCCGCACAGGTTCTTTTCACACAGACGACACGATCCAATAGTCGGAATTGAGCACTGAGGTCCGGCGCAACAGCTCCTCTACACAGTTCTGCCTAAATCTATTTTGTGTCAACTTGCCAGAAAAAACTAAAAAACAACTACAAATGAGTGCATGTCCTACATTCCAAATTGTAGGCACCCTCGCAATTTTTCAGAATTTCTCTGCCAAAATGTGCTTACGTAAATGGGTTAGTATCGTCGGGCTAAAATAATAGTAAATAGATGGTTTTGCTGGGCGTCAAATGCTAAATCATGCTGTACAAGCCAAAAAAGCTCCTCATCCTAAACAAGACAGCCCTTCCCCAGGCGCAGGATGATATGGATCAGCAGATTTCATAGAAAGTATGAACAAATGCATGTTTAATTTGCAGTATGCATGATAAATTCTCAAGAAATATTCTCATACATAATAAGCAACACTTGTTCAAGGCGATCGAGAACGGCCCCTTCAGCAGGTGGGCGTTGCTGCTAGACCACTCGCCACAGAAGAAAACTACACAGCTAATATGTCGCTGAATATTCAATTTGAAAACAAATTTTTTTAAGAAACAAATTGCTTATCAGAGGGCTGATCTACGAAGAGCGATCGAGAATAAAAAACCGCCCAAATATTTCCGGCTCTGGCTCTCACGACCGGACCAGTAAAAAAGAAGTTCAGAGATGGCTTGGTTGAGTCACGAAAAATGTAAAACAGCACAGCAAGCTTGCTATATCTACTGCTCCCATGCCGGAATGGACAGATTTCAGTCAGCGCGAGTTGCTCGCAAAACTTTTTTCTTCCATTGGCTGCAGGCTTCCTTCTAGCATGTTTAAGAATTCAGAATCAAGTTTACAAACGTTTCACTGCAAGTTAGTAAGGCGCTCTAGATATGCGGTCTGATTGCTGTCTACGACAGAATCGTGTCTTCTGC